ATTACCGTTTATTACAGCGTTTTATATGCATTAACAGCATATCTCTTCACTATATTTCATACTTTTGTAGGTGAGTTAGATCTCACTTTACACGCACAAGCCTACGTTGTATAACTTTCCAATTTTAAATTTTTCGTCTTTCATCAAGCCTACACCAAAGTCTGCATCTAGTTTTTGGTGACTAAAAATTAGGCAAGCACATATCAATCTGAAGTGACTCTTTTCTTTTAGATCATCATTTGAAATAAGTAACATATACGCACGGTTTGCGTAAATAAATGGGAACGAAACCAGTTACGAATTTCATGTTAGTATATACAGTTTTTCTCCAGCAATACCAATATTAGCTTATGAGTATTTATTTCATCAACCACATGTCCCAGTTATTCAAAAAATTGACGTGACTGGATTGAAGTTTTCCAATGTCAGTTACTTAGTTTCTCGGGCACATGGTGTTTTCATCTTCGTATATTTAACCTAATTGCATGTTAGCAACTTATCAAATAGATGTTGTTTACGAATTGAAGCCTGTCCCATGTTATACAACTGCGTGGATGATGCTTTTCACATGTATCCAGAGATCTTGTTGATAATTAGCACACAAGACCGTTTACCAAAAATATCTTTATTCTAAATGATGTATTATTACTAAGAATCATTTTATGTTACAGGCGTGATACATATAAGATTTAGCATTCTTAAGCTTCCTGAAAAACAGGGTGACTGTTGGGTAGTAATTTGTTGTACTCCTTGTGTAAATCTTGAGTCGCTTTGGTTGAGGTTACGTCGAAAAACTTTTTAACTGCCGCTTTGTACGTCCGTATCAAGTTGTGATAGAGTACTTTGTCAACGAAACTCATATTAGTTTCAATCTTATTCATTGCTGAATCTTATATTAACTCAGGGAAAATGGTTGTATAACTATTTTAAATATCCTCTCATCGTAGAGTGAGATGATCTTACATCAGCAATTTGGTTACTGGATATTTGTCCTAGTGTTAATATACCTCATGTGAGATATGGTTACAACATTCACAGATCATGGAGAAATAATTTGCTTCAGAAAAATAATTTTTCGCACCGGGTGGATGTTAGTCTGACAATGATCCAGAAATTCTAATCCACGAGTTAATTGTTGACGACTGAAAACCATGTTCGGTTTTCAATAAATTAAACCGCAAGTTTAACAGTCAAATCAGGTTATTTCTGTAACCACTTATTTAGCACAAAATAACCTACTTCCTCATTGGTTAAAGCTTTATCGATTATATTTATATTTTATCAAAGTGAACATTGAATCGAGCAAACAAAAAGTGAAAATAAGGTTAAAATCATTTCACAAATCGATCGAGGATACTGGCAAATAGAATTCTTTGGTCTTACTTCGACACATAGTTTGTTAGGTACTGGTTTCAACTTGTTGTCTTTGAAATAAATTGGTGTATGTTAAATTTTAACCTACATAAACCCCCAAAGTAAGTGATAGTCCTATTGATATCCAACACCTAGTAGCAAACCTCGTTGATTTACTGAAGAGAACTAATTAAAGGCAGACGTTAAGAACTTATGCTATTCAATACTTCTCGTGCTGCTTGCACATATCACCTAAGCAACAAGCCATTTCGCTCTCGGCAACTTTTCTGGCTGGAAAAATATCGCCACATCCAAATCTATATTTTTGCCACCTATAACTACCTAGGGATTGGACGACAAAAACTAGTCTCTAAAACTTTCTGCTAAGTAACTGTTTAGTTGTTCTTCAAGAAGTGGAAATGGGACCTCTGAAATGCTATGTCATCAGATCGTTTACCTGTAAACAACCAAATTATTAGAGTAAATATTTAACACAAATTTGTTTGGAAAGACAAGTTGATTGGATTATTCTCAAAATGTTATTAGGTAGAGAGCGTGCAGCAAGTAATTGTAAACTATCACACCAATGCAGGGTACAACACTGACTCCTAGCTGGATACCTTTAAATTTAACTAGTGGTAAGTATTAAATGCTTAATTACAACAAAACCACGGTTTTATTAACTCTGTTACAGACGTTAGTCCCCATCACCATGATACCCTTTTGATGATGTATGGAGTTGTATTAAACTTACCCTCACTAAAAATATGTCCCTAAGACAATCGTGAAATTGTCACAATTTAAGGTGCAGATGCTACTACATCTTGTTATATTTATCAAATAAATGTTATTTAGTTATTATTTTTTAGTTATTTTAGCACATAGATATTGGTACAAGGAGGCACCAAATACATATGCGCCACACAAATCTCATTTGATATATGTGAGGGCTGTGATACTGTCCGGGTGCCCAAACCGAAGCAGGTGGTTTTCTTAGGGGGCCACACCCCGAGCCTTCGACCTGAACGTCTGATCCACAAGGCAGTGGAGCATCGTGAGGAGATGCAGTCCCATGGTAGCCGGTGACCAACGATTGGTTCATACGCCATTTGTCCCCTCAGGATACTGGAGCCCATGTGCGCCATTGATTTGGGGTCCTGTTATAGCGCCGGACATTCGCTTTTCGTCCTCTCATTTTCGTAAACAACACCCCCGCCACGTGAATAGGACTTCCCTGGCAGAGGCTATATACGCGTGGCCATGTGAGAGAACTTCGAGAAGGACTCTCCCCACTCTCGGCCGTACCAGGGCATTTAGGGGTTATCAAACAAATGAGGAGCCTGTTATTAAACAAAAGCCAGAGGAATCTTTAAATGCAAGTTTTATAACTGTTGACCTAATAAGCACCAGTAACGCTACTCACATTTGCTCATGTTTCATGGAAAACATTAATAATAACTTTAAGACTTAAATCTTCTACGGGTATACATACAGTCGACATGTATAACTATGAGAACAAAGATATCTTCACTGTAATATTATTATTTTAACACATAGATATCGGTACAAGAAAGCACCAAATACATATGCACCACACAAATCTCATTTGATATGTGTGAGGGCTGTGATACTGTCCGGGTGCCCAAACCGAAGCAGGTGGTTTTCTTAGGGGGCCACACCCCGAGCCTTCGACCTGAACGTCTGATCCACAAGGCAGTGGAGCATCGTGAGGAGATGCAGTCCCATGGTAGCCGGTGACCAACGATTGGTTCATACGCCATTTGTCCCCTCAGGATACTGGAGCCCATGTGCACCATTGATTTGGGGTCCTGTTATAGCGCCGGACATTCGCTTTTCGTCCTCTCATTTTCGTAAACAACAGTAATGCCACGAGAAGGCAGTGAGTAGGACTTCCCTGGCAGGGGCTGTATACGCGTGGCCATGTGAGAGCATTTCGAGAGGAGGAGCGGACTCCCCCCACTCTCGGCCATACCAGGGCATTTGGGGGCAACTGTAATATATGTTTGTACATAATACTTTTACATTTTTAGAACAACCTTGAAACTCTTAAGACAAAAATAAGAACTTATGACCAACAATTAGAGGTTTTCAACACCAAATTATGAAAGGACTAAATATCTTGCCTTTATTATTACTGACACTTAGTTAACTAATTTCTGAGTGTACTGATTCATAGTAAATATTCATTATTGCACACAAATATACATCTAAGTAGTCAATATATGCGCAGCTGCTTGATTCATATGCAGTTACTATCAGTCATCTTGTCCCAATTACAGACTCCTATGGCAGTAAGTACCCTTGACTACATCTGACAAAAGTCATTAGTTTATAAGTGATGATCGATTAATAAGTTGAATATTCATGATTTTACCGAAGAGAAATGATGAGCCTGAGTTTGACGTTGTAATACGTAAACGTTATACATTGTTAGTCCTATGGAAACATCCCTTCATTGTGGTCTGCTTTCATCTATACTTATGTTGATATTAGTCTAGATAACTTGCATCAGCCGGAAGATTTTCTGCCAGGATTGTTGTGCTCACCATACAGTGAAGTAGAAGGCCTATAAGTAATTTATTAAAAATACATGCAGCAATGACTAGTCTGGAAGACCATACAGTTGAATTTAAACTTCTAAAGGTTTTTACAGTGGGACACTACAGTTTTCTGGTATTTGAAACATTTCAACTAACATAGGATCTAGATATGGGCATCAGGACAAGATGAAACACCAAATCAGAAGTTAGGTGAAGTTAAATCTTCATCGACTGAGATGGTTGGGTCACGTGTTGCGTATGCCTGAACACCGATTATCACGACGCGTAATGCTAACCGGTGTTAGGGATAATTGAAAGAAAGTAAGGGGCGGCCAAACCAAAACGTGTCCCCCAAAAATACTGAACTTTAAAACTCAACACATCAAAATATTACTTTCCGTGTAAATGAGCGTCCGACAATCAGAATACCCAAGAGGGGCCATTACAATTTGATCGTTTCGTTCTAAAGTACTTACATGATAATTGTCCGCCATACTTATCAGAACTACCTCATCTTGACAATACAGCACTGATAGTTAAATTATATATGTAGATTACGTGTAAATGAATATACCGTGAGATTTTAAATAGCTACCCTTTTGATGTGAATACCAGTTCACTGTGATTACTAAAACATTCAGAGAGATGAAAATCATATAGCATCAGCTTATAGTGGCTTCTGTCTAAAATAGTGTCATGTTTCTAAAATTCGAAGTATCAACATATTCGTTCCTCATTACAGTTCGAGACATTTCAGCAAAGTTGATCCTTATCACAGTTTTACCTACGCGTTCTGTTCATTGAATTAGAAGGAACATTTGTAAATCAGAATCCTAACAGTAAATAATTAATGCAATACATCATTATACCAGGTGACAACAGTGATCTTTCACTCACCATCGATCGAATGAAAGTGTTAAACAAGTCAGTGACATCAGACTTTCCGACATAGCTGTGGTTCATAGTTATTTTGTAGTCCCTTACCATAGCTTGTCAAATCAAGTCGCGAGTTTGGACCAAATAACGTCCAGAATAAATCGTGAGGAATGGACTATCCCAACAAGTTTTTAAAATAAATTCTCGTAATTAAATCCTAAGTGACTTTGATATACAATAAAAACGATTACATAGCATTATATTAAATATACCAGTTAGCGATAAACTATTGAATGGATCACAAGAATAATGTCATTGAAGTTCACTCCGAGTCCGAGGATGATTCAGACTCATTTGCACTTGAGTCTTCCGACTCCGCTGTGTTTTCCTTTTTAATCTCCATAGACCTTTCTGCAGGTTGCTCTGAGTGACTTGATGATGAGTCACTGTCGGATTTCACCTCTAAATTCTTGCCTTTAGAACCAACAGACGTTTTTCGAGAATCTGGTGGAGAGTGTTTTGGTGAACTACCGTTCGAATCTGTCTTCGACTTCTTGGCCTCAGATTCCCCAGATGATGAGCTTTCAGAATCCTTTCTAACACTAGAGACTGAACGTTTTGATGAATCACTATCGGACTCTGTCTTGGATTTTTTGGCTTCGGATTCTCCAGACGAGTCTTCCGAACTTTCATCAGAGTCCTTTGAAGGCTTTGCTTCGCCCTCAACATCCTTGACTGAGGAGGGATTAATTTTTTCTTCTTCCTCATTTCCCGAATCTTCATCTGCAGACGTTTTTCCTTGGTGTTCTGTGGAATTGTCTCCATTTTCACCAACTTTCTCCTCAAGACTTTCATCCGGAACCTTTTCTTCCTCTTTTTGATCTTTATTCTTCTGTTCTTCATCAGCTTCACTTTTTTCTTCCTCCTTAGAAATATCAGGCTTATCTTCATTGCCCGAAGACTCCTAGTAAAGTCAACTGATTACTATTAAACACACTACCTTATCATTCTCTCCGTCTTCTTCCTCACTCTCGGCCTGAAATTTAACGTCACAAATTGAGTCTGAGTACATTTTCTACAGGTTTAATTCATGCAGCACATGCAAAATAAGGCTAAGCAATCATGCGAGAAGACTTAAGGGGCAACCGGTACCTCACTGGCGCTGCTACCCATCAATGCTGAGAACGGCTTCTGAAAGAAAATCCTGATAGGTAATTGGAGATCTTACAGGTTTTTCTCCAGGCAATTTTAGAAAAGATTCCAGTTCTTCCATTTCCAAGGCCTCGTAAAATTCATCATAACCCTGAAAAGATTAAAGCCAGCGAAGTACTAACTCCGAGATATTCCTCATCAAGAAAAATATGTGGTGGAACCAAAGGTTTCTCTTTTTTCTTCAGCTCCTCAAATAATGAACATTTCTCAGACTCGTTGGAAACGTCAGAGAGGTCAACTTCTTTAAAGTCAACCTTTTTAGCATTAAGTAGTGATAGAATGAGTGCCTGTTCTTTTTTGACCTGCATTATAACTCGTTAAAAGTAACGATTGCAACCTTAAGGTTTCCAGAAAGAGTGCTGACATAGACTTTTAGAACCATTGAAGTAACGCAAAACAGAATTTTCCGCTGATCCAATGTCTGATTAATAAGCTAGTTCAAACATATCCACCCTTCTTTATAATGTTTTTGATTTTCTGAGGAAGTGATTATTAAAGTTACACTAGTTGCTCAGTTTCAATCGTCTTCGTGTCACTGATTATTAGTGCATTGCCTCAAAATGTTAGCGTGTGCCATGCAAAATAAGTCCCTCAATGCCTTGTAATTCTACAAAATTTGTGTCGACCTTATTAGTATTGCTAGTTACCTGCTGGCTGAAGATGCTTAGTCACACATCCGCATCAAATAACGTTTCAGCACATCGTGATAAGCATCCTTTACGACAATTAGGTATCTTACATCAAATACTTCCCGAAGCAATGATCAAATCCCGAATATATCCTTTATTGTGATGCATGGGTTTTTGACCCTGTCTTTGAGTTTGAATGCTCTTTTAATTCCCAGATTTTGATCTTGCAGGGGCCTCATCAATGACATGAAGCTGGAGATAGTTCTACAAGAGAATTGAAAGTTCATCGAAGCCAGATTGTGATCTACTTAAGGAAATCCAGAAGACCATTCATCTCATTTTTAAGTGAGCGAATCCTATGAGTATCAATGGTATGTCTGAGAATGCCCAAATAATTGCTTCCGATCCGAGAGGACTCTATATTCTTAGTGAAATAATTTCCCTGGGGTGGATCACTCGGTTAGGACGCTAAAGAACCAACAAGTCGATCGTAAACGTGCGTTTATAAAGTTCATGCCACAAACGACGTAAGTGACGATACCTCGAAGAGATTGTCTCGGTTTCTTAATCCCGAAAGGATGCGAAAATATTCTTGAGGACAGAATGATGTTATGATTGTTATGTTAGGGTGTTCACTATCCGCCGAAGGAATTTGATTGCTTTTTTTCAAGCCTGCATTATGACTGACAGACTTACATTCGAAAGCAACCGTCAAGTTGTGAATACGGTGGAGATGTCACAGGTATTCAGAGTTTGACAACGCTTTAACCAGCAATACCTTCTAATATAAATCGTACCCACCAAGTGAAATCAAAAGACGGAAGCGAGGAGGTTCGAAGATTTACTTGATAGGCCATAGGTATATGGAGGATCGACTGATCTAGAGTGGTTAGTGATTGCAGGGGATGTTGAGCACGGCGTTTCCACTTGTGATCTGGTGCAGATGCATGAGTGGGCGTCTTGAGGTATGTGAGTCCATTGGAACTAATGTGGTCAGCATCTAATGTCGAAGACTTATTTATTTATTTTGGGGATTTAATTACCTCTACAGATCGCCCTCACCTAGGGGGGTAATGATGAACCTAAGACGCGGCCAGCCAGAAGTTTAAACTCAACGAGTTTGACGTTGGTAAACACTGTTCTGATAGCTTACTATGTTTAGCAGCGTCTGGTCGTCTTTTCTTTCTATAAGGGATCATGTAGTACAATATTGTAACAACGAAACAAGATTTCGGTTCATCGCAAACTTCGTCGACCTTTTTTGTCTCTTCCAATCGTCCTGGAAAAGAAAAAAAGATAAGGGCATGTCGAATTACACTCGTACGCACGTAAAAACATAAAGAAGGCGAAAAAATGAAAGCTCATACACATGTGACAGCGTAAAAAACTATCTTTACATAAAGTTTATTTGTGTTGTTTTTTTAAAAAATGTTTTTAATATACATATATCATCAAAAATCGTTTTTGATAAATATATAAGTATAAGCATCTTAAAATTAGTCTTTTATATCATATATAAGACAAAGAAAAATCGAGATGAAACAAAATGTTAACTAGTGTCTTCCGCGCAATGATCGCTTAAATGTTCTGGAAACATTACCCTTCTTTCAGAACGCGCTGTTTTCAGTCTATTTTCAGATATTGACATGAACTTGTGTACTATATCATAGGGCAGGTTGAACGAAATCATCAGTTGGCTGCGGTCCAGTGGAAACAGTTTAACTGAAAGCATTGCGTTTGTAAGCCTGCTCATGAAGGAGGTTAGATCCATATTCATTGAAGAAGATGGGGGATCCACGAAATCTCTTGGAAGCCTAGGCGTCGTTCTATAAACGAGTTGATCTGCATTTATCCAGTATCGGCTTTCACTGCATCGCGAATACCCAGTAAGACGAGTGGAAGAGCGTCAGTACACTAAGAAATGTTAGCGGCTGACAGTGAAGCTTTTAGTTGTCGGTGAAAGCGTTCTACCAACCCATTTTATTGTGTGTGGTAGGTGGTAGTTTGGGAGCGAGTGATTCGTAATAGTGTGGTTAGACAACGGAAAAGTCCAGATTCGAACTGGCATCCATGGTCTGTAGTGATAGTTGAGGGACAGCCGAAGTTGGCTACCCATCGTTCGACGAAGGCGCGGGCTTCTGTTTCAGCAGTAATGTCCTTGATAGGTACTGCTTCTGGCCATTGAGTGAAACAGTTTACGCAGGTTAAGAGATTAGGGTATCCATTTGAATCTGCTAAAGATCCCACTTAATCCAGATGAACATGGTCGAAACGAGCATCAGGAGACTCAGATGAACCTAAAGGACATTTGCTGTGTCTAATGATGTTAGATTTCTAGCAGCTTACACAGGAGCGTGCCAACTCCCTCGCGTCCTTATTTACATCAGGTTTTTGAAGCGAGTTTAAGATGGTCGATTCCTTCAAAACTGTTCAAGGAAGTTATTCAAGACAATGCGTCTGCAACTTCATTGTTTGCTCCAGAACAGTGTTGTATATCTGAAGTAAAGTGCGAAATGTAGTTCAGTTGTCGAGACTCACAAGTTGTCTGACGATGAGCTTAAAGAGAAGTTAAAAGGTTCATGATCAGTAAAAGGGGTGAAATGTCGGATTTCGATAGAGTATTGAAAATGCCGTACAGCCCAATACATAGATAAGAGTTCCCTACCGAAACTGCTATACTTCGTTTCAGTGTCCAGCAACCTTCTCGAGTAGAATGCTAAGGAGTGCCAGGAGTGGTTAACCCATTGTTGTAAGACTCCTCCGATTGCTGTGTCGGATGCGTCTACTGCTATACTAATCGGTGCTTGAGTGCCCTGATGCGCGAGCATGGTTGTCTTGGCTATAAGCTCCTTAGCTGTGGAAAATCCATATCGCGCGCTATCGTCCAAATTCATGGATTTCGCATTTCCATGAAGTTGGTTGGTTAGCGGCTTCATAACGGACACACAGTCTGGTATAAACAGTCTATAGAAACTTACAAGGCCGTTAAATGTGCGTAATTGCTTAATGATGGTCGATTCTGGGTAATCCAGAATGGCCACCACTTTGATTCTTAGAGATAGAATGCCTTGCGCATCGATATTGGGTCCTTAGAAGTCTAAGGCATTGGTTCCGATTTGGAATTTCTGAACGTTTACAGTAATGCCATGCAACTGCAGCCGTTCGAAAAACGAGGTCGGTCGCGATTGGTATATTCCAGAATACTTGTCGAGTGGTGGTTTGTGGAATGGGTCTTTCGAATGTTAAACAATGACTGGAGATAATCTGCAACCAGCGAAAGACGTTGCGCAAACAGATAAGTTAGTGTTTCCTAACTCTATCATGGGATCGAATTCGATTGGTTTTCCGTTTGCCGCCTGCAGATTTAAAACCGATTCATGAAGCCGTTTGTGAGAATTCGCTGGAAGAACGCTAACGTTTGCGGCAATACCGACGATGTAGCGAACTTTCGTAATCACACCTGTGACATATAACAGACGGCTATGTTTGCCATTAACACGTGCCGGCTATGAAGTTTTCTGAAATGTTTTTCGTGCCTGTCGATTTCGAGTTGGGAAAACTGCAGGCTTTTTGCAATTTCTGGAAGACTTTCCATATTGGTTATGTCAGTGGCACCAGTCGAGGTTGTCCGTCTATCGTGGTCTAGAGACATCGCCTACGTGAAGTGCTTCGTCTCTGGGTGTGTCACCGCTTGTAGTCGTTACAAAATCTGAGATAACTTGTGAGTGTACGACATAGTTCCGTAATGTCATTCTGTGTCGCTTGAGGCTTTTACTTGACTGAAAAGTCCTAGGCGTTAGAAGATTTCCTGATTCCTAAGATGAGCTCAGCAGATTCAGTCAGCTCGTCTATGTTATAACGTGTGATCCGCCTATTAGAGAGCAGCCTATTATCGATCGAAACAGTGACGCATAAAATACGAGCGAGCAGCCTAGAGTCCTGATTGGTCCTGCTTCCCTGTCTAGCCCAGCCAATTGAGTCCAGAACACAAGTCTCAGCCTCGGAGATATGAATCGTTATATTTCAAACATACACTGTTTATATACCAAACAAACAGACTACATCGTACCATAAATAGAAAGTAACATTTGTACAAGATTTAACCTTCAGGAAATGACACAAATAAATATTGACCAATAAGGGGATGACACGTTGGAAGAATGTTGACCAATGGGGAAATGACACTACTTCTCATTCAGGAATAGCATAAGATAATTTCTGGGGTATTTTCTGAATACCCCAACAGTTTACGGCGTTGTTTTAGAATGAGACCAGCACAGCTTGCACCTGTTGAAAGTCCCTTGGCGAATCACCTATCTCATTCTTAGCAACATGTTTGTCTTAGAACCGTATTGCAGGTCGATATCATCAAGGAGTTGATCTAACCTTTGTCGATCGGTTAGGTCTCTGAGTTTTAGGACAGATCGTCTAAGAGTTTTGTAAGGTGCGAAACATCACTAGTAAACATACTAGGTGTTACGTACCTGTTGAATTCGCGCAGTAGTTGAAACGAAGTGGGAGACATAGTCTTTAACTTAAGTTACTTGGGTCTCTGTTCTGTCATGGTGAAATATCAAGTACAAGAATGAACGAGTGAAATACATATGTACATCCAAACACATGAAAAAAATATCACAATATACTAAAATTAAAATAAAGCAGTAGTGTACAGAATTCCAGAAAGGAAAAGACTCACAGTGTGCACGTTGATGCACCAGATCACGCCGGGTTCACCGATGAAGATGCCACAGGTATTCAGAGTTTGACAACGCTTTAACCAGCAAGACCTTCTAAT